CTGAACCACAACCCCAGTCCCCCCAATTTTTTTAATGTAAAAAAAATTAGAACTGATAAAAATGGAACCATAAAAACAGCATACTACAAGGATACAGCCACATCAATGTTTATAGCAGCACAATTCATAATAGCTAAACTGTAGAACCAACCTAGATGCCCTCAGTAGATGAATGGATAAAAAAAATGTGATATATATACATAATAGAATATTATTCCACATTAAAAGAGAATAAAATCATGACATTTGCAGGTAAATGAATGGAACTGGAGAATATAATGCTAAGTAAAAATTAGCCAATCCCAAAAAGCCAAATGCTGAATGATTTCTCTGACTTAAGGATGCTGATCCATTATATGCTGCAGGGGGTAAGGGACAGGGGAGATTAAATGAACTCTAGATAGGGCAAAGGGGAAAAGGGAAGGGAGGGGAAAGGAGGGAGCATAGGGTAGGAAAGACGGTGGAATGAGATGGTCATCATTACTCTAAGTACATGTATGAAGACACGAAGGATGTGACTACTTTGTGTACAACCAGAGATATGAAAAATTGTGCTCTATATGTATAATATGAATTTTAATGCATTCTGTTGTCAAACCAATTAAAATTAAAAACAAAAATAAAAAGTGGAACCAATATATGGCATCCATCATAATTACCACATAGTCCTAACAATGTAGTAACAAAATGAAATACAAAATTAAGAAACCTTATTCTATAGACTATTTCTCCAATGGCAATGATAAAACTATGTAAGACCAGTCATATTCTTTTTTCTTTTTGTCCCCTCATTTTTTAATTGGTGCATTATATGGTACACACTGATGGGATTAGTTGTTACGTATTCACACATGCACACAATATAACAATATAATTTGGCCAATATCATTTCTCAGCATTTCCCACCCCCCCAACTCCCATACCATGGTCTCTTTCCTCTACAAGATCAGTTATATTCTTATCTAGTCCCTATTGTTACCAACAGATTGAATGTACAAATATGTAACTGGTGTTGCAAATATAATTTAACACACAAAGAAGGATTGGCACAAATAAATATTCCTTGAATAAATAAACAAGGTCCAGGACAAAATACTGATAGTATTATCAGTGTTAAATTTCCTGAGTGGCATCAAGTATTGTGGTCATGAAAGACACACTTTTCTTTAGAGACACATGCTTAAGTATTTATGGGGGTATGTCATGATGTCTACAACTAATTCTCAAATTAGTTTTGAGAGAAACTATATTCATGTGTAAAGAGGAAGGAAGGAAATGTGAACAAAATGTGAACAGTTGGTGAAGCATATGAGTGGTTCAAAGTACTTTTTAGAAGTTTTGTGAATTTTTCAAAATAAAAAGTTGTAGGGGGAAAAAAGGAAAACTAAATCACTTAAGTCTGAACCACTGAAGAAGGCCTTTTTTTTTTTTTTTTTTTTAGTTTTCGGTGGACACAACATCTTTATTTTACATTTATGAGGTGCTGAGGATCAAACCCAGTGCCCCACTCATGCCAGGCGAGCGCGCTACGGCTTGAGCCACATCCCCAGCCTGAAGAAGGCCTTTTAGAGAGACACCTAACCTCCAGACATTCTCCTTTACCTGCTGTATTCAAACATCGATGAAGAGGAGCTAACATTGGCTGAAGCAAATACTTTGTTGCCAGTTGTGGCTGTTCTCTCGACATAGTTATAAAGGTAGTGGTAGCGACTCTTTGAAATTGCTGTACTGTCAATTTATCTTGAAAATGAAATAAATCCAAAATCTACAAGAAAAATCACATAAAGCAAATATCAGGGTCTTTGCAAGGAACGTGACAGTAATTAAGAGGAAAAAAACATTTATTTCTTTAGCCAAAAAAGAAAGTTGCAGTGATAACACTGACTTAACAGAATGGCTTTAACAATCCATTACCAAAGAGTGTAAGCACTGAAATGATTGGGTGTTTATTAATAAGTTTTTCAAATTTATAAAATGTAGATTCACTTCTGGGTGGAGTGCCACAGGACTGTTATCCCAGTAATTCAGGAAGCTGAGGAAAGAGGATTCCAAGTTTTAGGGGAAACTCAACAAATTAATAAGAACCCTGTTTCAAAATAAAAAAAACAGCTCACTCTCCCTTTGGAAATGCCTTGCATTCTCTCTTAAATATGTTCTTCTTACTTTATTCCCAAAAAATCTCTCCTTTGAGATAGCCCACATTCTTCCCTGAATGTGTATCTGCTTTCATAAATCTATGTATCTGAAAAATTAAATATAATAAAAAGGGCTGGGGATGTAGTTCAGTGGCATTCTACTTAGATTAGATCCCCAGTACCACCAGGAGAAAGAGAAAAAGAAGGATAATGAAACTATTTCAGGTTCTAGCTCTGAGAGCAATTTGAGCTAGTCATTTAATAATGGTATGTTTGTTTGGTTTTGGGGGTGCTGGGGATCAAACCCAGGGCTTCATACAAGCTAGGCAAGTTCTTGACCAGTGAGCTATGTCTTTGGCCCTGGTAAGGAGTTCTTTTTTTTTTTTAAGTTATATATGGGCACAATATCTTTATTTTGTTTTGTTTATTTATTTTTATGTGCTGCTGAGGATTGAACCCAG